ACATAGTAAAAATGCATTCCTTCTTTTCTCGTCCTCTCGATGATGGCGGAGGATAAGTGTTATCTTCTATTTCGCACGCTCAAAAATAGACTTTCTCTTTATACTTCTCTTCATATTTAATATATGAATTCTCTAGGAATTACGCTCATTTTTTTCACCGTAATCCAGAAAAATGAACTCTTCGTTAGAAACTATATTTGACAGAAAAAGAAAAGTCTTTTAACGATCGTCGTGAATGCTGATTTATGACTTGCTTCAAAGCTTGAATTCTGAGAGAATTATTTATTTAAACAGCGTATGTATGTCAGAATATGTCTATTTTCAGACAATTCTCCAGAAACCCTATTGCACAGTTTTGTTCAAATAATTTGATTAATTATAAGAATGTCGAATACATCACTTGTCAATCTCATAGCCACATTCAATAGTGTTCAATGGCACTTTTCTTACATCATCATGCCAATCTGTTTTATTTTGGGAAATATCGGTAATTGTTTTAATTTAATTGTATTTGGTCAACGTTCATCACGATCAAATTCGTGTTTACTTTATTTCTTATCTGCATCAGTTATTAATATAGTCATTATAAATTTTGGCCTTGTACTTCGTATTGTTCGTGGCTTATGGAATATTGATCCGAGTGCCAACTCTCTATGGTTTTGTCGCTGGCGTCTTTATTTGACCAGCACTTCCTTTCTAATTTATCGATATTCAATTGTACTTGCATGTATTGATCGAATGTGCGCTAGTTCAAGACACGCATGGATGCGTAGTGTGAGTCGGACACAAGTGGCATATCGTTTGATTGCTATTAAATGGATTCTATGCTTTGCCTATTTTACACCCAGTTTAGTGTTTCCTGTTATACGCTTTGGTCAATGTGTGATACCACCAGGTACCACTTACGCTACCTATTTACCTATAGTCACACTTATTCAAGCATTCTTGATACCGTCGACCATGAGTATATGTGGCTTGATCACTTTTACTCATTTAAAATCTATGCAATCACGTGTTGTGCCCACGAATACTGATGCAAATGATACACGTAAAAAAGTTAGTCAATATATCATTATGTTATTCGTTCAAGTGGCTTGTGATTGGTTGGGCAACCTATCGTATCCATGTTATCTAATCTTTAGTCTTATTTTTCCTGCACCACTAACGCCTCTAATGACTGCGATCGCTTCATTCTGGATCAATATGTCGACCACCATACCGTTTATAAACTATAGTGCAGCGTTTTATTTACATACACTTTCAAGCCCAGCATTCAGACTAAAATTGCTTCGCTTTATTGGACAAATAATGTGGTTTCAACGACTCATACGTCTTAATAATGAACCGCAAAATACTCAAACAATGGGTATGATTACAATGCGCGGTAGAACTGCAAACGCTGTCGATCACCAAAGAATCCAACAATATGATGAAACAGTCTAACTTACGAACAACTTTGATCCGTTATAACAAATAACAGATACACTCATTTCATGACGATAAAGAACACATTTATGTAACAAGAAAAAGATGAAGAAAAAAAGAGTGTTGTTAACCAAAATTTAAACAAAATCAACAGAAGGATTATAAAGAGAAAGTCTATTTTTGAGCGTGCGAAATAGAAGATAACACTTATCCTCCGCCATCATCGAGAGGACGAGAAAAGAAGGAATGCATTTTTACTATGTAGGAACATAGTTTTTCATTTTCAA